ATCATCACCTAACACTCCAGTACTCAAAGGGACTCTCAGAGACAGAAACATGAATGACTTGACATTTGTCCATTCTTTACAGTTCAAACCAATATTAAAAAAAACAAAAAATCATGCTGTGCTTAAAACTTACTATGTGCTATCCTGACATTTAAAAATAATGATGACCACAGTTAATTTTTTTATTGTGTAGCACATGCGGGTGTGATTATATAACTTCCTTGGGACAGAAAGCAAATAGGACACTTTATATAGTAGGCTATTTAAAAGACTTGAAAGAAGCTAAGGAAACATGGAATTATTTTTGTTACTGAGTTGATCATTATTTGATTTTTGTATGACATTCTTGCCAAAGCAATTATCAGGCATAGGTGTTCAACATTCCAAATTTCCTATCTTTATTCACATGTTTCAAACTGAATAGAAAACTTAAGAGATATTTTCTAATTCAACGTTTCCAAAGTGATTTTTGTTGGCCTTTTCAGAAAGCATAAATATTTGCTTTGTTTTCTCTCTCCAGTCCTTGAAGGGAGAAATTCTAATTTTGTACTCCTTGCTGCAGCTAAGACTTCACAATGGGATGGAATTGTTTCATTTCCATGGTACAGTGACATATAATTATCGGATTCCTCAACACTAAATAATTATTTTTCCCAGTGGCTACTTGCTAAAGATCTGTCTGAGGCTTCCTTCTTTTCAGGGTAAGCCTGAAGCCTAAGAGAACCAGGCAGAAATTTAGACGAGCCTCAGATGAAAGTATTCATGCAATGAATGGCTTAATTTCTAGTTTATATGATAAGGACAAGTTATAATTTTGTTAAATTAACATTTGTTAAGCAGAGCTTAGGGTGTCAGGTGGTGAGTTGTAGTTCAATTAAAAACCACAAGAGACATTGAATTAGATACATTTATTCCTCATGGGTATTGAAAGTACCTGACTTGCTTTAGGGTGTTTAGATAGCCAGTATTTAAATACCATGTAGGCAAAGAGAGACAAGACCATGTGGCATATGGCTTTATTAGGGCCTGTGGGAGGTGTGCTTCAGGTTCTGACACTAAGACCAGATCAGTCAATTAAACTCTAAAGAGGAAGACTTTGATATAATTCACAGGGTCTTATTTAAGTCATTAAATAAGGAAATGGTCCTAGATGGCTGGGAAGATGGTTGATCACAAGGTCTCTTAAGAAAAGTCCTACGACTTTCATTCACTTGTGACTGTGGTTTGCTCTCTAGGGCATGCACTGACATGCCAGGGCTTGTGTGAGTTTAAGATCCCCATAACACTAAGTCTCTAATGAGCTTCCCTGGTTAGCATTTCACATTGCTGTTGCTAGGGGAATGGAGTATGCCCTGTGATTCCACTGCAAGACAACTCTTAGAAACTTGTACCTAGGGCCTCCCCTGGTGGCACAGGCGGTTGAGTGTCATGCTATGAAGCTGTCTGCAGCCTCTGCAGCACCGGTTCAATCTCGGCAAGGCTGTGAGGGTCCCACATGGCACGGCAGACCTTTCCTGTCTTGACCCACTTCTCCCCTCAGCAGCGTATTTCATCAGTCTGCCTGTTCTCTTCCCCGCTGTCTCTGGTGAATCATCTCACCCTCCTGCACATCTGGCCTGTACCCCGGTTCTTGTATAAATAAATGAATAAATTAAAAAAAAAAGAAACTTGTACCTCATTGCATGTACCTTTCCCTTTGCTAATTTTCCTTCTTATCCTTTCACTATAAACACCATAACCATAAATACAATTATGTGCTGAGTCCTTCCAATGAATCATCAAAAGCAGTAATGATCTTGGATGCCATCAACACACTCAGATATAATTAATCAATCATATTATACTAGGAATCAATATAGGAAAAATGTGTTTTAATCAATCTTGAAATCACCTTTGATAAAAAAGGATATTTAGCCACAATTCCTTGAAGAAAACACAAAAGTATTGCATTACTTCTTCCCATAAATAATGAATGGAATTAAAAAAATTAGACAGGGCCTCCCCTGGTGGTGGTTGAGCACCGTGCTGTGAAGCTGTCTGCAGCCTCTGCAGCGTGGGTTCAATCCTGGCCGACTCGCGAGGGTCCCACATGGCGAGACCTCTCCTGTCTCGCCCTCTGCTCCCATCAGTAGTGTATTTCATCAGTCTGCCTGTTCTGCTCTCCGCTCTGTCTCTGGTGAATCCTCTCACCCTCCCCTGCATCTGGCCTGTTCCCCGGTTCTTATATAAAATATATATATATATATAGGGCCTCCCCGGTGGTGCAGCGGTTGAGCGCTGGGTTGCAAAGCTGCCTGCGGCCTCTGTGGCGCCGGTTCAATCCCCAGCTGCTCCCCGGCCACTGGAGGAGGGTCCCACATGGCGCGCAGACCTCTCCTGCCACCCGCTGCTCCCCTCAGCAGTGTACTTCGGTCCTTCTGCCTGCTCTGCTCCCCGCTCTGGCTCTGGTGAATTCTCTCACCCTCCCCTGCTTCTGACTGTACCCAGTGCATGTATAAACAAACAAACAAACAAAAACAAACAAATAAATAAATGAATAAATATGCCTCTATAAAAAAAATGATTTAAAAAAATATATATAAAAATTTAAAAAACTTGTTAAAAAAAATTGGACAGAATGTGTGGATTAGCACACTAGGATCAGGCATTCAGAAAGGCCTGCATTTGTACTGTAGGTTTTATTTTTCAAAAAGTTGTCATAATTACATTTAGTATGAGAAAACTTCTTGTTCTATATGATAACCCCCCAAACAATCAAGTTTTAAAAGGGAAGATGTTCAGTTTTAGAGTAAAACTGGGCTGGTGTGAACCCTCAAAATGCATGGCAGCCACATTTCTTATGAGCAAGTTTGACTTTTTTCAGAAATAAGTATTCTTTTCTGGGAATGCATTTTGCTCTGCAGATGGGTAGAATGTATATTTGACAGAAAGCTATATCAGTATATTACAACTATTAAAACTATTTTAATATCTATATTTAGTGATAGAATTAGAAAACAGATGACACTTTAAAAAATGTAGGTGTGACCATGGAATATTACTCAGCATTCAAAAAAGATAAACACATGCAATTTGCAGCCACATGGATGGAGCTGGAAGGGATCATGCTCAGCGAAATAAGCCAGAAAGAAAAAGAAAAATACCGGATGGTCTCACTCATAGCAGAAATCTAGAAAACTTAAATAAGGGACCAGGAAAATGAATAACTATAAGAAAGTGAAAATCAAAATCAACAAAAAACTATGAACCAGACACTCTATGGGGGGTGGGGGGCGGGGAGGGGAGGGATTGGGGTCAAAATAAGGGGGTTGCAATTGTATGGGGAATATAAAAATAAAATTTATTTAAAAAAATGTAGGTGTGAGAGGCTAATATTACTGTATTCTTATAAACATTATTGACTGTCCAAAAGTTGGAAATAGGTTATTTATCAATTTATTTATATTTAATAATTGATAAATCAACTTATTTATTTATCAGCTTCAGTCATTTATCAATTTATATCTACTCCAACGATTTGGAAAAGATACCTGTTACCAAAAGACCTCCAATTATAACTACAATAATAATTCTAATTTTTCTATAAGAACATTAAAGAATTACTTTTCTTGTGTCACTTATTTACTTTTGACTTGAGAATCTACTTCAGTCACAGAGATTGGATCAAGAATTCAAATGTTCAAGATTTGATCATCTCTTTTTCTTAGCCTCACATATATGAATATATGACAACCTACAATTACTCTCAATTCCCCTAACACCAGATATTCTTAAACCTCCCTTTCAAGGAATCCTCATTTCTATCTCAACTCTGCCGCCTCCACAAAGATTCAGCATAAATCAGTAAGATTCAGTAGGATTCTTTTGTTTCCCATGGACCCAGATTCCTGGGGTACTTTTATCAAGGTCAGATATGCCATCTGAAATGGCAAGTTGAAGATAAGAATATTGCTTAGCATAGTTGAAACTGTTGAATATAAAGTAAAGGCAAAATCTTTAAGGGATGTCAGAGAGAAAATGTGTCAAAAAGAGTTATACAGATATTTATTAATGATGTTTTTTTTTAAGATTTATTTAATTATTTATATAAGAACTGGGGTGCATCCCAGATGCACAGGAGGGTGAGAGGATTCACCAGAGATAGAGAGGGGGACAGAACAGGCAGACTGATGAAATACAGTGCTGAGAGGAGCAGCGGGCAAGGCAGGAGAGGTCTGCCGCCCCATGTCGGACCCTCGCCGGCTGGCGGGGATCGAACCCGTGCTGCAGAGGCTGCGGACAGCTTCACAGCAGGGTGCTCAACTGACTGTGCCACCAGGGGAGGCCCAATTAATGATGTTTTTAATCAACAGAAATGAAAAAGTGGTGCTGAAGGGGCACAGTTTGTGTTTCCTGGTACACAATCCATAGTTTTGGGCAAGATAATATCACTTCTTTGATAATATCAAAGAATAATATCAAAGATAATATCACTTCTTTGTCTGCTGACTATAATGTGATTGAGATAAGGATGTCAGTTTTAAAAATTTGGGGATAGGGTTCTCTGCATGCATTTATAGGCTATTTGGAAAAAGTTGTAAATAGGCTAATTTTAATTTTTTTTTTTTGGTCTGGCTTCACTATATAACTGGCAGAAAAATATATATATAATAAGCAAACATGTGAAGCAAAGAAATTTTTCTTTAATTCAGTACAGTTTCCATCACTAAAAGGAGCAGGGAATTTGTAGAGAATCATTTTCCCATTAATAGTTCTCTCATGTAATCTACAGGGTTATGAAACTATTACACAATTTTTTATAATACCTTAACATTTGGCTATTTTGAGGAGAGAATTTAGTTCTATCACCACTTTACTAATTTATAATTAACAACTTCAATTTTCTCACTTGTCAAACTTTGAAAGGTGAGTGCTATTAGTTTTATTGCTGATGAAACCTTACCTCTAAAATCTATAGAAACTTACTTACAGACAGGTAAATCCAATTCCAAAGGCCTTACTCTTTCATGAGATCATACTTGCTCTGTCGAGCTTCTTTTACTGATTTCCTTTTACTTTGTGTAAATACCATGGTAACGAATCTGACCAAATTTTTTTTAGAGAATCATATATAATGAATGAAGTTTAGTGGTGCCTTAGAATATTATTAGACCAAAATCCCATCCAATGTAAGAATAACACTTTTATCTTAACAATAATGTTCTTTCGTCCTTTTTCTAAACATGCCACATAAAAGAAATATAGAATTTCAACAGGAAGCTATTGTATTAAACAAAAAGCATATTAATTCTATACCTATCACCCGCCTTTTCTGGTTATGTTTTGTGGTGCTATTTAGAAAAAAAAAAATCAATCCTTCATGTACATATTCTGAGCTGTAAACAAATAAGCAATAGCTAAATTATTTCTTCTTTGGGATAGACTTTAAGAACAAATACCTATCATTCTCAAACTCTTCCACAAAACTGAAGAACAGGGAATGTTTCCAAACATGTTTTAGGAGACCAACATTATTCAGATACTAAGAGAGACCAAGATATAGCTCTCTCACATACACAACAAAAACTACAGATGAATATCCCTGTTGAATATAGTTGCAAAAATCCTAAACATGATTTCTGGACCTACTAAACATAGAGCTTCCACAGGATCCAGCAATTCCACTCCTAGGTATTTACCCAAAGGACACAGAAACATCAATTCCAAAGAGCACCTGCACCCCTATGTTTATAGCAGCACTATTTACAATAGCTAAGCTTTGGAAACAGCCCAAATGCCCAAAAATAGATGACTGGATCAAGAAGATGTGGTACATATATACCATGGAATATTACTCAGCATTCAAAAAAGATAAACACATGCAATTTGCAGCAACATGGATGATGCTGGAAGGGATCATGCTCAGTGAAATAAGCCAAAAAGAAAAAGAAAAATACCGGATGGTCTCACTCATAGCAGGGATCTAGAAAACTTAAATAAGGGACCAGGAAAATGAATAACTATAAGAAAGTGAAAATCAAAATCAACAAAAACTATGAACCAGAGACACTTTTTGGGGCTTGGGGGGCGGGAGGGGAGGGATTGGGGTCAGAATGGGGGGATTGCAATTGTATGGGGAATATAAAAATAAAATTTATTAATTAAAAAAAAAATCCTAAACAAAAATCTTAGCAAATCACATTAAAAAGGCTGATTATAATAAAGTAAAAATCAAAATCAACAAGCAACTATAAACCAGAGACACACTACGAGGGGGGGGAGGAAGGGGGTAGGTCAAAATAAGGGAGGCAGGTATTATATGGGGACTATAACCAAGATAAAAATGCATACATTGTGCAAAAATAAAAAAAGTGATGTAAAAATATATAAAATAAAATAAAAATTAAAAAATGCATCAAAAGTATCACACATCATGACCAAATGGGATTTATTCCAGGCACAGAAAGATGGTTCAACATTCAAAAATCAGTCAATGAAATCCACCATATAAATAAAAGGAAAAATAAAAATCATGATCATTTCTGTGGTTGCATAAAAGGCATTTGATAATAAATAACCAAATAACATACAGTAAAACATTGATTTATACATTGGATTGTATTAATTTCCTAATTCTTCCATAACAAGGTACACAAAATAGATTAAAACAACAGAAACTTATTATTATAATCCTGGAGATCATGAGCTCAAAATGAAGTTACCATCAGAACCATTCTCCTCTGCAACCTGCCAGGGAGAAGCCTTCCTTCCTCTTACTAGTTTCCTTTCAGGGCAAACCTTTATATTCCTCAGTTTTCATTTGCAATAATTCAGTCTCTGCCTGTGCCATTACATGGTATTCCCCCTGTGTGTCTGGGTCAAAATTTCCCTCTTCTTAGAAGGCCACCAGTCACATTGTATTAGGGAAACATAAAATGACATTCCATCAGATCAGACCAGTTTATACTGTACTAACAAAGACCGAGATCTAAGTAGCTTATGGTAACAAAGACTTAAAATCATGTTTGGGCTAGATGGTAACATTTAGGTGACTGTTGATATTCATCAGTGTAGGGTAAGGAAAAATATCAGGCTTTTCTGCCCTCCCGCCATCAGGATAGATGATGGATCCTTGAGGTCCTGAATGCACGCCTGATGGCGGGCACCTGGAGTAGGGTGTGGGCATAGGTAGATGGGATTCACCTGGGCTAAGACTGTGCTTTTATAAGGGTGGCGTCACAGGGACGCCAGTAGCAGCAGAAGCCAAAAGAGAAGCCAAGAAAGAAATAGCAGAAGCTGAGAGAGAAGCAGAGAACGCCGGAGAGCCCAGATAGCGCGAAGATTTGCTGGGGGCTGGGAGGACTGCCAGCCTCCCGGACCCCCAGCACCCCTGCCTGCCATATGCCTGGTGAACCCCAATAAAAGACCTGCAAAACCACTGAGGACTCTGACTCCTCCTTTACCCAGTCTGCATGGGATCAGAAAACCTGCTCAGTGGTCATTCCTGCCCTTACAATCAGCCCAAGGGAGTGAGGGATTATAGTCTCAGAATTTGACCAGAAGGCAAAAGGACAAGAACACCACTAATGCCATATACTTTTGGCCACAAGTAACAGAAAACATAGCAAATATTAGCTTCTATCTCAAGGTTACTCTTCTTACTTAATAAGCTTTTCGGTGCATAGAAATCATGGGGTTGATGTACTACCTAACTGATGCTATCAAGAACCCAAGTGTGTATGTATTCTCTCTCTCTCTTGCTCTCGCTCTCGTTCTCGCTCTCTCGCTCTCTCATTCTCTCTCCCCTTCCCACCCCCCACTTCCATCTCCCCAATCATCCTTTCTGTAGGGTAAAGAAAATATCAGGCTTTTCTGCCCTTCCGCCATCAGGATAGATGATGGATCCTTGTCCTGAATGCATGCCTGATGGCAGGCACCTGGATTAGGATGTGGGCATAGATTAGAAGGGATTCACCTGGGCTAAGACTGGGCTTTTTTTTTTTTTTTTTTTTTTTTGGATATTCCTTTTTTTTTTTTTTTTTTTTTTTTTAATTTTCTAGAGGCATGTCTTATTTATTTATTTATTTATTGTCTGTTTTGTTTGATACATGCACTGGGTACAGTCAGAAGCGTGGGAGGGTGAGAGAATTCACCAGAGCCAGAGCGGGGAGCAGAGCAGGCAGAAGGACCGAAGTACACTGCTGAGGGGAGCAGCGGGCGGCAGGAGAGGTCTGCACGCCATGTGGGACCCTCCTCTGGTGGCCGGGGAGCAGCCGGGGATCGAACCGGCTGCAGAGGCTGCAGGCAGCTTCGCAACCCAGCGCTCAACCGCTGCGCCACCGGGGAGGCCCTAAGACTGGGCTTTTAAGGGCGGCATCACAGGGATGCCAGCAGCAGCAGTAGAAGCCAAAGCCGAAGAAGCCTAAAGAGAAGCCGAGAAGCAGCAGAACGAACTCCAGAGAGTTCAGATAGAGTGAAGACTTGCTGGGGGCTGGGAGGCCTCCCAGCCTCCCAGCCCCTCAGCTAGCACCTCTGCCTGCCATATGCCTGGTGAACCCCAATAAAAAACCTGCAAAACCACTGAGGACTATGACTCCTCCTTTACCCGGTCTGCTGGATCAGAAAACCTGCCCTGTGTTCACTCCTGACCTTACACTTTCCTTCTCCAGAATTTCTGGATTGCATGACTAACCCTCTCTCACAACTACAAGTGGTCTTGGTTGCCATCACTAGCTTGGGCCAATCTTGATAAACCCTGAAGTCAAGGGTATATCCACTCAAATTAAATTGATAGTGTTTGTGAGGATAAGGGGAATGAATTGGTGAAGAGCTGTTGAATAGGAACAAATATATGCAACAAACAATATTGATGCTCTGATATAAGTATTATCTTTAAGCACATGCAATGGAGAAACATCAAACTAAAAATTAACTTTTCTAACTTAAAGTGTTAGGTTATTAATAAGTAAAATTTAGATGCCAGTTTTAATTAGCTAATATGCCTATTCGAGTGTATTTGATAATTATTCACATAATACTAAGATTTATTCCATGTGCACAATATGTTTTATGTATATTATCAAATATCTGTTTTTTCTCAGAAGAAAAATATCATAAGCAGGGAAAGGGAATAATCTATTTCCATTATTAAGAAAGAAGAAAATAGACATAAATGAGTGTTATGAGTAGGATTGAGAGTGGAACTTTCCACCCTAGACCAGTGCATTTCACAATGAATCCTTCTTTTCTTGTGCTTTGTCCATTTTTATAATAGGGCATACTTTGAAGAATAAGACATGGGACCAATTAAATAGTCCATCTGGTTAATCTTTGAATTTCCCTTGAAGCAAAGTACAACTAAAATTACAGACTATTTTGGAAATAATTGAAATCTCAAGGAAACAAACTCTTTGATCAAACACCTTTTGTGTTTCAAATGGGAAGGAAAAATTAGATACCAAATAATAATAAACAGAAACTTTATGTCAGATTTCATGAGATTTTATATTGAAGTCTGCTCTTTCAAAAATACGTATTTGGAATTGGTGATGTGACTAGCCCCTAAGCCATCATTATAAAGAGACTCAACATTTTCTTTAGAAATGCCATGGTTATCACAGTCACTCAAGGGTGACTCCACACATTTGATTGTTCAGAATTGCAACAAAAGCAACTCTCACTCTGATAGGATTTTATCATGCTGAGGGATCTCAAGGCATTTTGAAATCATATTAAAAATAAAATGTGAGTCAAACTTGAAATGTTTATAATTCATGAAAGGTTGATGAGCAGGTCTCAGCACCAGCATCATGATCAGTGTTAAGTGCTTGCCTGTGGGGGATTGTGGCATGATTGCTGGATGCCCAGGACAGCCATGTCATACAAAACAGAGACAGTATGTGTCCCTGCCTGACAGATGCTGATAAAACGGTGGGTGACAAGAATAACAAGTGACTAAAGAGATTGTTATGCCAAATTCCCCTGCCTGAGATGACACAAAGTGGCATAAACATCAGCCGTAGTGGAATATGATGCTCACCCCACCCCCCAATCCAATAGACCCTGTCATGCCTTGCAGCACAGACAAGCATT